ACATCAGTGTCATCACACTGGACCAATATGCTTTATTCACCTCAGCATGTTATGGCTGCCATGCAACTAGAAAATAGAGTCCTCCTTGATTTTCACCACAAAGATCAGATAACTATGAGCTAAAAGAATTGTTCAAATATGGTATTTAACTCTTTAATTTCTCCTTTAAATTTCTCTAGGTTCTGAGAGTAAGATGAAATTGCTTTAGTTCTATTTGGTTCCATTTTCATTGGGCTAGCCCTGGCTTTTACACACCTCTGTAGAGCTCTTTTGAAATGATTTTTATTTCTGAGCCTATTTCTTAACTAGGTGATGAGCCCAACTAGGCTGAAGGTCATGTCAACTTTATCTAGATATCTCCTGGGCATGGTCTCATTCTCACCCCACATTTCACTCCACCACAGCCAGCTTACCCTTGACTTAATCATGACTATTTTTAGCCTTCACCATTGTTTTTCCCAACCCCCCAAAAATATGACAAATATGGTTTATGGAAACATTCCACCTAAATCAAATCCCCATAAATTAGTGGTGCATGGGATGAGTTAGGACATAAGGGTTCATCTTAAGATCATTACACATGTATAGGACAGCCACCATGCTAACCCTTTTCTTCAAGCTATAGCATTCAAATAAATTTTAGAGAGCTTCAAAGACAATGTGAACAAATATTAAGCAGGTTTTATTTTGATTTTGTCTTCATTTCAGTTGCTCATATCTCTGCAAATGCACCAAAGAGCACCAAAGTTATCTTTAAAAATGCTGAGTATATATTTTTTCTTGTCAAACTAATGATCATTTTTTGTTTTTGCTTTTTTCAAACAAAAGTTCTTCTGAATGTAGAGTTCAGCACCATACATGTCACCAGCTTTCGGTTGGGGGGGGGGTTGCATGGCCAACACCTCTGCTTTGGTTCATAGCAGTTCTTTTGTAACAGCTTCTTTCTGAGACATGAACAAGAAGAAAGCACCAGATACTCTTCAATATCTGCTGACCTCTTGGGATTCGATGTTTTAAAATTGGAAGGACATTGTTAGAAGTGATTTTTGTTTTTTAAAATCAGAATCTATTAATCTAGATGATTCTAGTTTACACCTCTTAGTGGCCAGGAAGACCATGTTTGTTAAAGTCTAGAAATGTCTGAGTGAGATTTTGCCAAACAACAGAAGACTCAGTCTGTTTTCTTTTCTGATCCCTGTTGGAAGAACATTTGGAAAATTCAACCCTTCTCTTCCCAAACTTTAATCTATAGCTTAAATTGAATATCACCACCCCTGTCCCATGTCCACCAGGAAAAGGAGTTATGCTACTATTATCTACTTCTTCTCTCCTGTCTACTACTCCTTTCTAAAAATAATCTAGAACCACATGATATCACAGAAGTTTAATTGCACAGTATGCTAATACCTATGTATATCATATACTTAGTATATATAGCTAGTATCTAAATATAAATCCTCTGTGTAAAATTCAAGCCTAAATAAACAAATGAATAAATAAATAAATAAATAAA